AAAAGACAAAAAAAAAAAAAAAAAGTATATAACTGGGGGCTGGCTGGTTAGCTCAGTTGGTTAGAGTGTGGTGTTATAACACCAAGGTCAAGGGTTCAGATCCCCGTACTGGCAGTGCCTGAAAGAAAAAAAAAGGTGAAAAATATGTAACATGCTTAGCCTTGATCACAGAGGTGAATTCTGTATTCTGTGTTGGGTAGTAAGAGGCAAATACAGTGTATGGTCAGGAGCAGAGTCTAGAGTCAGACTTCCTGGGTTCAAATCCTGGCTCCATCACTTAACTGCCCATGTGGTCAGCAAATTACTTCATCTTTCTGTGCCTCAGTTTTTCTATCTACAAAATGGGAATAATAATAGCACTTATACCTCATAGGATTGTTGTGAGAAGTAATTAAATTTACATGAAGTGCTTAGAATTGTGCCTAGAATGTACTAGGCACTGTATTTTATCAGCTGTTAGTGTTAGTATTATCGTTGGTATGGTTCTTTACCTAGTTAAGTAGTTGTATGTTTGTTGAACATATTTTGGATTTATTCCCCCCCCCTTTTTTGGAGATAATAGGGAGAAGGATAACTTGAAATGGAAGTTTGAGTGCCTTAAAAGTGGACTTACAAGTTAATTATTTGGGATAATAAACACTTCTGTCAAACCCTTGTCTTTCTTTCTTCAGAACAGGAAGGGCATAGGAAAAATTGGAGCAAGAATGGGGAAGGGATTCAGTTGTCTAGGACAGATGCTTTCATTTGACCTAGTTGGGCTCCTTTGTTCATTGCCTAAGGATCACCCAGTTGCTGTCAGCTGGAGTGGGACCAATCCTGTTGGTCCTGAATCCTGTTGACCCAATAAGCATGAAGGTGATGGAGTATAGTTGGGTGAGGGTGAATATTTTTACTGTGCTTTGGCACCCCAACTGGAACCTACTTACTAGCTTTTGTTCTCCCAATGATAGGGCCTGAGAGCTCTGTGTAGACCAGCACTGTCCAATAAAAATGACATGAGCCACATACATCATTTAAAAAAAATGTAGTCACACTTTAAAAGAAAAAATAAAGAGCAATGAAATTTTAGTTGTAAATTATATATAATCCAAATTATCATTTCAACATGTGATCAGTTTTACAAGTTAGTGAGACGTCTTACATCCTTTTTTGTACTGAGTTCAAAAATCTGATGTATATGTTATATTTACAGCATATCTTAATTTGAACTAGTCACATTTCAGATGCTCAGTTGCCATCCACATATGTCTAGTAGCTTCCATATTAGATCATGTAGACCTTTTCTGAATGGATTGAACCATCATGAAGTCTCCTTTTTTTATCTAGG